AGGTAAAGCAGCAGCCATTGCTTTGAGATGGTCAGTTCTTATTCATGTTTATTTATAACTTCATCCATGCAAGGTCAAGGTGCTCAATAGCAGCTTACCCCCTTCGTCCAGTGTGCAAGTATTCAGACGAAAGGATAGATCTCGGGCTTGCATCGGGGACCCAGGGCCTGGGTGGGAGGGGCTCCTTCAGGAGTTGAGAGCCCAAAACATTTCCATTGGAGGATTCAGTCCTGTATGTTCAGACTCTGAATCCAGGCACACAGCATCAGCAGAATTAGCTTAGGAGAGAATTCGAAGTATTTATTTTAACTGTGGGGCGGTCACTCTTCCATCCCAGTTACTCTGTAATGAGCCCGTGGCACTTCCATTCTGCTTGCCGGGAGATACTACTTCAGAAGTGCCAGCAGCTGTAGTATTGCTGAGAGGCAGTCAGTGACAGTGGAGAACGGGCACCTCGAACCTCTGGAGCCAGGGGATGACCCAGACTTCAGAGTAACAACTGAGGATCTGAAACAAAGAAGGGCACCTTAAGAATCGCGCTGCCTGCCACAGGCAGGGACCACCCGCCTCGCCGAGGCTGCCACTTGCAGCTCTGCAGTTTCCAGTGCTGCTGCCTGTGTGTGCATGAACGTGTGTGTGTACACATGTGTGTGTGCATGTGTGTGCACATGCTTGTGCGTTTTCCTTACTGAGGAGTTCTCTCCTTGCCCTGAGGGTCCTTGTGAAAAAATGTCAAACCTACAGACATTGAAAGAATAATTCAAGAACATGACTTTTGCCTATAGTTACAAATTCTTAACTGTTGCCGCATTTGGTTTCCCCCTGCTTGTGTATATACATTTCTGAATTATTGGAAAGGTCTTTTTTTGCTCTAACCTGCCCCCGAATGTGGACGCGCCTCTGAGGAGGGGGTATCCCCTCTATGTCTGCCATGTCTGTAGGATCCTGTTGGACACTGGGAGACCTGGATTCAAGAGTGAAATCTGGAACTGTGCGGGTAGAGAAAGGATGAAGGAGTGTTTCCCAGAGCCATGGCGAGGGGGTGGGGCTAGGAAAGCGGGGAGGGGTCTCAGGAGTGAGGCCCCTTTGTTTACCATCTTCAAGGTGTGGTTGGTCTGGAAGTCACAGTTGTCCAGATTGGGGTGCTCGGTTTTCTTGCAAGTAGTTCTGCCAATTTCCATGTCCAGCATGTATTTCAGGCCTTTCACGATCTAAAGAGAGCAGAGGGCAGGGCCTGGGTTACATTGTTCAACCCAGCAGGAGGGGGCTTTAGGACAGGTGGTGAGGGCGCCCTGATGGGACTGGTCCCTCCCTGCTCTCTGGAAAGGGAGTGAGTGGTGGAGAGGGAATGTGGAACATACTCGAACCGCCGTGGGAAGAAAGCCTGTGACTGGACCCAGACCCCTCCTGGTTCTCTCCTTTCTTCACTCCTCTCATTCCTGCTCAGGGCCTTAGCTCTTGGTTCCAGGGCGAAACGTGGGCTCTGTGTCCTGTCTTAGGACAGCTCCTTCCTCCCCAGGTCTCTCCGCTGGGCATCAGGAGGGTGGCAGAGGCGGGGTGCCGGGGGGCTGCCCCGGCCTCAGGGCCGTGGTGAAGTCCTGCCCCTGGCCCCTCTCCCGTGCCCTAGTCACCCACAATCACCTGCCCTGTGTGGCCTTTACATGGGGTGAGGGCAAGCAGTGTGTCTGCTGGCTCCTCACCCTTCCTGGCAACAGAGTGGGCATTTTCTTTTCAGTTACAGCCTTTCTTCACTTGGATGTGGCAGCAACCTGGTCTCGCCCCACCACGTACCAAGTGAAATCCAGTCCCCAACGTCACGGAGGGATAATGCACCCCTTCCCCCAAAGGCTCTGGGCACTTGGCTCTGGGCGTCTTGCACTTGCAGTGGTCCTGCAGGAGGCCTCACACAGTCTCCGGAGCTGTGTCCTTGGAGTGATGACACTCGGACTATTTCCATGGAAACCTTATTAAAAACCCTCCCCACACCAGACTGCCTTCTAGAAAATACTTCTCTAAGTATAAAAAGGCACTGCTCGCCCTGGCCAGCGTGGCTCGGTTGGGCGTGATCCCAGGCACCGAAAGGTTGCCGGTTCCATTCCCGGTCAGAGCACACGCCTGGGGTTGTGGGCTCGATTCCTGGTAGTGGGTGTACAGGAGGCAGCTGATTGATGTTTCACTCTTGCATTGATATTTCTCTCTTTCTCCCTCTTCCTTCCTCTCTCTCTGAAAATCAATTTTAAAAATCTTAAAAAAAATACACTGCTCTTAAAAAGTTTGCAATTGTCCAAAAGAATAAACACGGTTATAAAAATCACCTGTAATTCTGTGACCAAAGGTAACCAACCATTAATAGTTATGTACAAACTGGCAGTGTCTTTCCTCCTTCCCGTACCACCACACCCATGGGAATGTGTGGGTTTTGTCCAAAGCCAGCTTCCCACAGCCGGGAACTTCCTTTTGAGTGGCTGTACAGTATCCCTGGTTTCAGGAAAGGCAGAGACATGGGCAGCCACCTCGTCATTGTGGCTCATCACTATTCTGCATCCCTTATCCCAAGCTGACCCTGTATCCTCAGGACACAGATGAGCAAGACCTGGCTCTGCCCTGTAGAGTCCCCTCTAGGTGGGAGGTGGCTGAGCCATCCCGTGACAACTTCACAGGGTGTGACATTGAGGCAAGGCTGGTGGAGGGGGGGATTTGTGTGGGGGGGGAGGGGTGCATTTTGGGCAAAGCTCTTATGTGAAATAAGTCCCAGGTGGAGAACGTCAAAAGGTCCTATGGGGCTGTGGCTCTGGTGAGGGGGTGAGGCAGGGGTGGGGCCCTAGGCAGGGGCAACTGTGGCAGGTGGTGCAGTAGGCCCCTCCAAGGGGCAGCATCTTCATCAGTTTGGTTCCTGATGCCCAGCTTCTGGTTTCTCCCCACCCAAAGCCTTCAGCAGGCTCACGTCTAGTCCCCGTTCCACCCCAGCCCACCTCTGTGCTACTCCCAGTGGCTCCACCCTGAAGAAGTTGGTTTCCATAAGAGACGGTCCCGGACTTTTTGTTCAAGTCTGGTGACACTGGTGGCCTGGTTGTAGGCTCTCTGTGGCTGCCACTGCCAGCCTCCTGGCCTGTTTTGCGTTCTAGATGACCAGGGTGCTGGACGGTGGGCCCTTGTGGGGTAGGAGCTTCTGAAGCCTGGCCCCAGAGATGCTGGCCACCAGCGCCTAGACCCTCACCTGGACCAGGGCTCTGCTGACATGGGATTCCTTGAATAAGAAGATGTCATTCGTGCAGTTGTTGAACCTTTCAACGCTGTATCTGGCTGCTTTGAGGACTCCTGGGTTGTTGGTCTTGATTGTTTTGGGAAATCCTGGCTTCACACCTGAGTTAAAGGTCTGGGAACAAACATCTGAAAGAGAAACACAGAACCAGGCAAAAACATTGTTGTTAGTGGGGCCCTTGGTCCAGGGTCATGATTCACACCTTGGTGCTCAGTTCTTTGCTCCCAGTGTGGTCCCCAGCCTGTCTAGTTCGTCACTTATCTGCCCTCCCCTCACCGATCCCTCCTCCCCTCACCACCTACCCTCTGCTCTCCTGTCCACCCTCCCTGGCCCATCCAGCCCCTCCCCCCCCCCCAGTGCAATTCTTGTGAATCCCCATGGTTGCCCTGAGGACCAGGCGAGGGGGGTGTTACAATGATGGGTTAGATACAGTTCCTGTCCTGCCCACACAGCCCCCTTCAGAACCCAGGGTTATTTCCAATGCGTCTTAAAGAAACCCTGAACATGTCTGGAGGTGGTAGAGCCTCGGACAGGATGTAGCCTCAGTGTGTCAGGAGAAGTCGCTCCAGCTGTCCTTCAAGGCCAACATCTGGCCCCGACCCCTCAGCTTGTCTCCAGCAAGTGGACCACCGGGAAGTGCCCAAGGCTGGTCCCGCCTTCTCACTGACAAGGAGGCTGCTTCCTTCCTCCACCTCGGGGCTCTTGTTAGCATCTCCCCAGCTTCCAGGCCTCGCTCCTAGGGGCCCTGTTCCCCAGGCAGCACCATAGCACCTGGTGCTCCTCACCTGTGCTGCCTCTTTCTGCACTGTTTCGAGTACAAGTCTGAGGACAGGGCCAGGCCTGGGTGACTTCATCGCACATGGCTCCTTTATGGAGCTGGCAGTGGTGGAGGGACGGGGGGAGGCCTGGACTTCCTGTCCCGAGGAGGCCCATGTTTGGATAAAAGGTGGGGAGAGCAACCTGAGGGGCTTCCCCTACCACCACACCGCAGCCTCTGACAGCCAGGCAGAACCAGGGACCCCAGCACTCTCCTCGGCTCCCCACATCCTCCTCTCTCAGCCCCCACAGCAGCAGGCCCAGGCGGACCCGAGGCTCCTCCCTGAAGAATAACCTGACTTCACTCCTTGGTTCAGTCCCCACGGGCTGAGCCCTCTTCATCCCACATGTGCAGGGGGTGCAGAAGCTTATGTTCGCTGGAGCTCATGTTCCGCAAATAAACAGGCAAGAAAAACATCAGAGCAGCGAGTGAGGAGAGGCGGGAGCTGTGCAGGGATTTGTCCGCAGAGAGCAGGTCGGGCTGAGCCATTTACACGGATCCGGATGGAGGGCCTGAGCGTGGGCCACGGGGCCGAGGTGTTCCAGGGCTCGCTCCAAAGCGAGGAGGGCGCGGGGAGAAATGCTCAGAGGCCAGGCTGGCCCGGTGGGGGTGTGTGCTAATCCAGGTTATGAACATTGGCTTTTATTATAAAGAACATGGGAATGTAAAAAACCCACAGGCTGTGTGAATTGCAACGTGAACATGGCCTTTTCTGGTTGCTGGCTCCTGGTGAATTTGTCAATTTTACTACAGTGGTCATGTACTGCTTGTATATTGAAAAGTTAGAAGTTTTAGGGGAAAATCTAAATAAACCAGGAGGGAGGGAGTGTGGGAAGAAGCTTTTTAGGTCTGTGAACTGCTTCTCTTTACTAAGACTTTCCCCAGATGTTCCTGAAAAATTAGCAGGCCACACCACAGGCTGGCAATGGCCCAGGCAAACATTTTATTTCATTCGCTAAATTAAATGGTGTCAAGTTCAGCTTTTCGGTGGCCCAGCTGGTGTCAGGTGCTCTGTAGCCACACGTGGTGGTGACTGCCATCTGGGCCTGCAGGGCCTTGGGTCCTGCCGAGGTAGGTAGGTTTAGCATGTGGCAGGGGTGCCCAAGCAACAGGAAGTGGAGAGGGGGTGTGAGGGCAGCATCAGCACCAACCCCACAAGCTCCCGGCTTAGAGATTCTGCTGCCGTGAGCTCCCCCACTCGTTCCACACAGCGACCCTGAGATTCTGCTTTGCAATAGCCCAGCCTTCAAATGACATCCTCACAGAAGCTGAAGCCCTCACTTGAGGGGCTGAAGACTGAAGCATGAAAACTGTTTCTGTCCCTTGAGCTCCAGGAGCTGGGCTGCTCAGGCTGCGTCAGGCCCGGAGCCTTCATTTCCCGGCTCCCCACGTGGCTCCCACGCCCAGGCACACCGCCGATGCTAACAAGATGGGGAGGCTGCTCCTGGGGGCTGCGCTTACTGACTCACGGTTTTAACAAGAACTGTTTGGGGAAGGAGCTTGGTTTCTGCTCATCACTGAAGTCTACATAGCAGTTTCCAGTTACTACATGGCCTCCAGCCCCCCACTGTGGCCTGGGCCATTGCCAGCCTGTGGTGTGGCATACAGCCATTGCTTTTTCTGATTATAAGCTTACCTATTTTGGGTAGGAAATTTGAAAAATACAGAACAGTTTAACAAAAATATATCTCAAACTCTCCAAGGTAACCACTTTAACTGTTTTTAAAAAAATATATATTTTATTGATTTTTTTTACAGAGAGGAAGGGAGAGAGATAGAGAGTTAGAAACATCGATGAGAGAGAAACATCGATCAGCTGCCTCCTGCACGCCCCCCCACTGGGGGTGTGCCTGCAACCAAGTTACATGCTCTTGACCGGAATCGAACCTGGGACCCTTCAGTCCGCAGGCCGACGCTCTATCCACTGAGCCAAACCGGGTTTCGGCTAACTGTTTATTTTTTTTTTTTTTAAAAGAAAATGTATTACATTTAATTTTGCTTGAATTTAGCAGAATTAAAGCAATGAAGCGAAATCAGGTGAGGCTGAACCTCAGATGAATATGTAATGTTAGTTTCTAAGTGATTTTGGTAAAGTTACAAAAAAGTTATGAAAAATATTGAAGTTGCTTTATTTTTAGTTAGCTACATGTTTCCTAAAATGTCAGTTTCAAGTCATCACAGGGGGCCAAACGCACAATAAAAGCTCCTTTTTTAATTTTACAAAAAGTTGAAAAGTCACACCAGTTTTAGGATGACTCAAGAGAAATGAACAGGGAAGGGCTGATCATGAAAAGACCCTAAAGAGGCAACTCTCCTTCAGGGAAGAAAACAAACAGGTCCCTGGACCCCAACCCGGAGTCAGCCCCACCTGCCTGCCTGCTGTCCTCTGTGCTGTGGGGAGGAGGGGCGGGGAGCAGGGAAGCCTGCTCTGCAGCGGCTTGGGTGCCCATTCTACAGGCGAGGAAACTGAGGCCTCAGAGGAGTGCAGGGCACGCTTAGTTCTAGAGACCATGCTCTCCCTTTCCTCACTTGGCAGCTGCTATGGGCAATGCCAAGGTGACTCTGAGACTAGGGAGTCCACAGTACAAGAAGGGAGGCAGGATGCAGGCCCCGGGCTGGGCCCATCCAGGAAGGTGACTGTAACCTGCCGTGAAGGAGAGCGCTGAGCGAGGGAGCTAGGGGTGGGGAGACCAGTAGGAAATGACCTAGATGAGGAGGGGAGAGTGTGACATGGTGGCCGAGTGCAGCTTTCCAGGACCGCTAACAGGTTCATTTTCCCTAAATTCTGCAGGGCTGGGGCGGGGGGGGGGGTGTGAGCTGCTGGGGGCTCTGCATTTAGGTGAGCGCAGCTTAGTGCTTAGGCTCAGGGAGAAGCCAGCTGACCAGATGGTGCCGCCACCCTAGGGGGGTTAGGGTTAGGGTTAGGGTAACTGTCACTCCCCCTTCCCACGGAAAGACCCTGGGATCTGTCTCAGAAGTTGAGGGGAGGCTGTGGGGGCCTTGGGTACCAGGGTGGGGGTGAGGGGGCGAGAGAACCAGGTCTGGGATTGAGTTCCCATCTCTGTTCCACCCACTAGACAGAGGGACCTTCAAGCCCCTGGTTCCAAGGCCCGCATCTGTCAAATGAAGGATGTACTTGAGAGGATCGAAGCTGGGGTAGGGTGAGTGGGGTGGGACAGCCTGGGGCTGCCAGGACCGGAGAGACTCGGGAGCAGGGCTGGGGTGGGCGGCTGCAAGCACCCCAGGCTCAGTGAGTGTGCCTTCCGCGTCCATGCCAGTCAAGCCTTGCTAGGGACCAAGGGGCTGGGTTATTGGCCCATTTCATGGGTCAAGAGACTGACGCTTAGGGAGGCTCCAGGCTCCACAGTTACCAGGCTCAGGGAGTCTGCGTGTCCCGAGGCCTGCATGTGAGTGTGGACTCCAAACACTCTGCCTGGGGCTTGGTGGCAGAGAGCAGGTCTAAGGGACTGGCCGGGCTGGCTGAGCAGGGCTGGCTGAGCAGGGCTTCAGCAGGGAGGTGTAGGCACAGCCGTGGTGGGGAGGGGAGTGTATGGAGAGGGCTCTGTTTAGTAGGAAACACCAGCAGAGGGGGCAACTCTGATGATAGGGCGCTAAGAGTAGGCTAAGGATTCCCCATGCATCCTGGACCTGTCCCTGCTCTGTTAGGGGACGAAGCTGAGGCAAGCAGAAGGAACTTACATGTAGTCTGAATAACTGCATCCAGTACAGCTGAAAGGCAGGTACCACAGCCCTCCACAGGCCCCCTCACTAAGGTTTGAGGAGTGCGCTTCTCTGGTCTGAGCACGCCCTTCCTCCCCCTGGCTTGTCCCCTCCTATGGCACTAGGGGGGCACAGGAAGACAGTGGCACCCAATCAGGACAGGCGGGAAAGCGGGGGTGCGGGGCGGGGGGAGGGAGGGCTTCACTGTGTGAGCTAAGAATGAAGCTCTGGGAGCAGGAGGAGGCAGGGGAACCTTTCCCATAGCCCCTGAGACAGTGTCACCAGGAGGGGGGTGACCCCTCCACAGATTGAGAGGCGCTGGGGCTGGCCCCTTGTACTGGTCCTGCCTGAACACCCTCTACTTGGTGTCCTTGGCCAGGCTCCAGCCCCTCCTGAAGAACACGGAGGGCAGGAACCAGCCTCCACCTGGGCATTGCCCCTGCTCCCCAAGCCACGGCTGTGACTGGAGCAGGTCATCCCGGCCTCCAGCACCAGCTTCCTCGGTGGTTAAAGGAGGTGAGACAGGGGCCCTCTAGGTCTTCACCATCATCTATGGCAGTGGTTCTCAACCTCCCTAATGCCGCGACCCTTTAATACAGTTCCTCATGTTGTGGTGACCCCCAATCTTAAAATTGTTTTCGTTGCTACTTCATAACTGTAATTTTACTACTGTTATGAATCGTAATGTAAATATCTGATATGCAGGATGTATTTTCATTGTTACAAATTGAACATAATTAAAGCATAGTGATTAATCACAAAAACAATATGTAATTATACATGTGTTTTCCGATGGTCTTAGGCGACCCCTGTGAAAGGGTTGTTCGACCTCCAAAGGGGTCGCGACCCACAGGTTGAGAACCGCTGATCTATGACCTATGCTTCTGGTGCTGGGAAGGCATCTCCAACTCCGTGTGTGTGTGTGTGCGCGCGTGTGCATGTGTGTGTGTGTAGGCAGGGGCTCCCTGGCCATGTGAACTGGGGGCAAGTTGCCAACCCTAGCTGTGCCTCAGTTTCCAGGAGCAAAGGCTACCCCTCTCTTCCTCCCCTCTCCCCAGCACTGGCCAGGCAGGAAGGGTGACAGTGTCTGATCATCAGGTCCCTAGAGCCAAGTCACAGGGCAGCAGCCAGCAGGCAGGAACGGCTGGCCATCAGGTAGAAACTGCCTGCCCACACCCATTCCTCTGTCCCCATGGAGGGGCGTGGGGAGCCTTCCCTGGATCAGGGAGCAGCCGAGAACAGAAGTCTTCCCTCATCTCCAGGTGGCACTCAAACCCTATTCCCAAACCCCTGGGACCCCTGGAAGGCAGGAACCCCTGGGACCTCTGGAAGGCCGCTGCTGCCAGCCTTGGGGCCCCGGCCTCCCAGCCATACCTGCTAGGGCTGCCCAAACAGGACTGTGCTTCGGGGCCTGGGCGTGGGAGGAGGAGCTCATGGCACCTGGCTCCTACAGCAGTCTGGGCATTGTGTCCGAGGGAGGCAGAACCCAGGGGACACCCTCCACTTACCTGGGGACAGGTCCCCCGTGGTGGTTAAGACCAGGCTGCCCAAGGCAAGCAGCGCGCAGGCCGGCCGCATAGCTTCGGGGAAGGCAGTGCTGGCTGTGGGCCCCGGGGGCGGTGCTGGGGCGCATGTTGGGGGACCCTGCTAACTGCCCCGCCCAGAGGGGGCTGCCTGCCTTGTTACTGGCAGGGGTGGTAGTTTCTTGCTAAATCATTTGACCAGAAGCTGTTCATCTCCACTTCTATCGGCTACACTGTCAACCACTTCCTTTATTCAAGTTTCCAAAGCGTGATGATTCTTTTTTTTCTGCAAGGGGAGGGGGAAGAGAATGAGACCTGCGAACAAGCCACCTCTGTCTTCTACCCTAGAAACACCCAGAAGAGACATTGCATTAAAAAAAAATTAGGGATTTTCAGAAGCAGAATCACGTAGACTTCCTTCTGCAAACCAACTTCTCAGGTCCCCTTTCTGAGGTCTGAGTGGCCCCTGCAGACTGCCCGCCTGCTGGCTGAGTGGACACCCCCTGCCCGGAAGTGGGCAGGCCTGCGTGCGGGAAGCAGCTGCTGAGTGCAGTCTCAGAGGATGGATGTGGTCGGGCACAGGCTGCCTCTGGTGATTTCTGCCCTGGAAGCGGGAGAGGAGCAGTGTGCGCTGACGGATGGATCGCGGCCTGGCTTTGGCTCAGAGCTGGTGAAGGAGGAGAAAGAACAGTGTGGCCCACAGGTTCTAGCCCCGGCAGAGTGCCCGTTTACCTGCCAGCTCGGCAACTAGGACTGAGGCTCTGGAGCCAACTGGCCCGAGTTTGTTTAAATCCAGCTCTGAATGTTAAACCCAGGTGGCCTTAGGTGTGGGGCAGCTCTATGCTGCAGTTCCCTCTGAGAGGGTTGTGGTGAGGATGCAGGACTTTCTCAATGCTAATGCTCAGGCCTGGATGGAGCCAGTTGTATGGGCGGTTCCTGGGCAATGCAGGAGATGCCCGAGCCTCCGTGCTCCCAGTGCCACTTGGACAGTGCGTGTAACACATCCCCAGGGAACGGGTGGTTCGACGGGCAGACTCTCTGAACCAGAACTTGCATGTTAACACCATCCAGGGGAAGCTCTGCTCCCGATGGGTCCAGATGGGTTCTATTGGATTCTGGGTTTGTGTGAATCGGGCAAGCCATCTAACTTGTTGGAGTCCCCAGGTTCCTGGCTGCCCCGAGGACTGTTATCAGCAAAGCGTGATTAGCACAGTACGTGGTGTGCGGTGACATTTGGTAAACCGTGGGGGCTGAGGCAGCCGGTGTGCTCTGCTGGGGCCGGCTCTGCCCGGTGCTGACCTCTCACCCTCTGGCTGTCAGCAGCTGTGGTGAGGACTCCAGGGTGGTGTCTCCTTGCCAAGCTCTGTGCCCTGATCACATGTGCCATGTCTGGGATGCGTTCCCGGCCGGTGGACTGGGCTGGAGGAAAGTGCAACACAACTCGGTGTTTGCCCAACGTGGGTGGCAGTTTGGCCTGAGTGCTCGCTGTTGGTGCTGTGGGCTGTTTCTGCTTTCAGAAGCATTGGGCAAGGCTCAGGGCGGTTTGGGACTTTCCTCGGCCACTGAGCCACTGTCTTCCCGGCTTTGGCCCTTTGGTCTGTGAGTGTGGGGAACAGTCCTCCACGTCCCTAGCCCTGCCCCTCTCAAGCTTGTGGGGAAACAACGGTACAGGGAGGCCCTCATTCCGTCACAAAATGCGTGGCAGGAAGGAGCTGATGTCACACCGGCATGGTTAGAGGGTCCTCCAGGGAAAGTGTGCGTGTGTGTGTGTGTGTGTGTGTGTGTGGAGAGTGTCATATATGTAGATGTGTGTGTCTGTGTGTATGTCTGTGTGTCCAGGAGTCTATCTTTGTTTCAGTCTTGATATGGTTTGAAAGTGAATGTGTGTGTTTTCCTGAGTGTGTAAAAATGAGTGTGTATGTGCTTATGTGCATGAGTGTGTAGTTGTGTAAGCATGTTGTAATGGTTACTTCTTTTTTTTTAAAATATATTTTATTGATTTTTTACAGAGAGGAAGGGAGAGAGATAGAGAGTTAGAAACATCGATGAGAGAGAAACATCGATCAGCTACCTCCTGCACACCCCCCACTGGGGATGTGCCCGCAACCAAGGTACATGCCCTTGACCGGAATCGAACCTGGGACCCTTCAGTCCGCAGGCTGACGCTCTATCCACCGAGCCAAACCGGCTAGGGCTGTAATGGTTAATTCTATATGTCAGCTTGACTGGGCCACGAGGTGCTCAGATGTTTGGTTAAACGTGATTCTGGGTGTGTCTGCGAGCATGTTCCTGGAGGAGACTGACATTTGAATCTGTGCGCTGAGCAAAGTGATTGCCCTCCCATTGTGGGTGGGATTCACCCAATCAGCTGAGTAGAATTAAAGGCCACACAAGAAATAATTCTCTGTCTGATGTCTTCAAGCCAGGACATCCGTCTTCTGCTTTCAGACTCAGACTCAGATTGGAACTGACACCGGATTGGAATGGGCTCCACTTCGCAGGCCTTGGGACTCAAGCTGGAGCTATGCTATTGGCTTTCCTGGTCAGACCGTTTAGCCTCCACAGTTGTGGGAGGCAGTTCCTTATAGTAAATCTCTTTACACACCCACGCATACCCAATTGGTTCTGTTTCTCTGAGAATCCTGACTGATACATTTGTGCACATGTATCTCTGCCTATATGGATGTCTACGTATGTAAGTGTATATTGTTTGTGTATCTGTGTCTCTTTGCTTGCATGTTGTATGTTCATGTGTCTGTGTATTCCTGTGAATCTGGTTGAAAAGCATTACATTTGTGCCTCTGCATGTGAGCATGTGTGTGCACACATGTACAGGTGTGTGATTGTGTGTATGTATGCTATATGCACTATTTCTATTCTATCCAAGGCATGCCAGAAGTGCTGCAGAAGTGATGGGCTCAGTACTGAGTCTCATTCATTCATTCATTCCTCATCTATCCTTTAACCCCTTCCTACTGGAAGTGTGGTCCCTGGACCAGTGGAGCCAGCATTTCTTGGGAACTTGATGAAAATGCAGATTCTCAGGCCTCACCACATCTTATGAATCAGACTCTCTGTGAGTGGGGCCCAGGAATCTGTTCACAAGCTCTCCAGGAGGATTTTTGGCCTCTAAGGTTTAGGAGGCACTGATTGAACCCCTTTTATTGCCCCTGCTGTCCTCCTTTCTTGTGGATATGCATAATGTCCCCCTGACCTCCATGCTGTGCCCACTGCTGGCTTTGGCCAGTTTTCGTCCTACCATGTGGAGAACATGGCTTTGCCCACTAACTGGTCATACAGCAGGGCTCCTACAGGAGATTCCTAGTCCCAAGGGGTGTGAATGGATGCGGAAGGGACACAAGGTGGGTGAGGGAAGCCTGTGGCTGAGTGAAGTCAAGGAGCGGGCATGCTCTTCTTCCCCAGGGGATGTGAGCACATCCCAGACCCATCCCTTTGCTGGTTGGGAAACCATAGACTGTGGTTTTGCCAGAACTTCCAGAGCCAGGACTTCTAAGGACCGACCCACGCAGCTGGGAGCCTCCTGTCTCTGGCTGGGTGAGCAGGAAGTGCTGTCTGTCTAATTTGAGCCGTTAACAGAATTATAGACCTTGGTGGTGAGAGGGGGTTTGGGTCCCCTCTTCCCCAGGCTGGGTCGCCTGGGAGCTCTTCCTTGTCTCCTCTGGGGGTGAAAAGGAGGCAGGTGCAGTTTAGGTGGCAGGGATCCTGGGCACCTCCTCTCTTTGAGTCTCCTCTGACGCTTCTCCTTCCTACCATCTCATTTTTTTTTTAGCTCATGGGACATAGCTGGAGGCTACACAGTTGATTCAACAAGTTAAATTTCACTTCAGAGGGCACATCTCGGCATAGACACGTTGCTGTGTGAACTTCCAGGCCGGCCCTGCTCTCAGGGTACTTGTCTTGTTGCTTCCATCATGGATCTCTTTTGCAATTTGAAAGGAAAACCCAATGACGTGTATAGTTATTGGATGAGTTATCAATTGCTGCATAACAAACGACCACAAATTTAGCAGCTTAAACAGCACACATCTATTAGCTCACAATAACTGTTGGTCAAGGTCTGGGCATAGCTGAGCTGGGTTCTTTGCTTCAGGCCTCACCACACTGCAATCCAGGTGCATTTGAGGGCTAAACTGGGAAATGATCCCTTTTCACGTTCAAGTGTCTGTTGAAAGCCACCAGTGTGGTCATGTGCGTCCTTAAAGCCAGCAAAAGGACAGTGCCACAGGCCTGCATATAAAGGGGCAGGCATTATAAGGGTAACCAACACTAATACAAACACACATTAACTCTCTCCACTGAAGATGCCTGCAAAAAATAACCCATGAGGTGGCAGTGAGCACCTTTAGATGCACCTTCTCGCTAGAAGGAGCCAAGGCTACTTGGAGAAACAGTGGTTCCAGGCCAGGGCAGGAAATGTACAAGGTGAGCCTGGAACACCTGGTCTACCCAGAGATCAGGGAAGCCATTGAAGATCATCAAGGTCATGTCAAAAGAACTCTCAACAAACAACAAGTGTTCCTGAGGATGTGGAGAAAAGGTAACCCTCATGCACTGTTTGTGAGAATGCAGATTGGTGCAGTCATTATGGAAAACGTTATGGACAACCCTAAAAAAATTAAAAAAGACCCAGCAAATTCACTTCTGGGTATGTATCCGAAGAACCCAAAACACTAATTCAAAAAAACACATGCACCTCAAGTACATCTCAATCATCTCAAAATTGTAGTTAAAAACTTACCATATACAAGGAAATAGCAGCAGAGAATCACTAATCTTAAACCAACCAACCAAAAAACAAAAACAAAAAACAAACCCAGCCCTTGAAATAAAAAATGAAAAAAGTGCCATTGCGGCATTATTTACAGTAGTCAAGATATGGAAGCAACCCAAGTGCCCGTCAATAGACAAGTGGATAAAGAAAACTGTGGTCCATATATACAATGAAATGTTACTCGGCAATAAAAAGAATGAAATCTTACCATCTGTGACAGCATGGATGGACCTAGAGCAGTGATGGCGAACCTTTTGAGCTCGGCATGTCAGCATTTTGAAAAACCCTAACTTAACTCCGGTGCTGTGTCACATATAGAAATTTTTTGATATTTGCAACCATGGTAAAACAAAGATTTATATTTTTGATATTTATGTTATATATTTAAATGCCATTTAACAAA